AATCCAAGAAGTTGGATTATATGAAGAAAAACTTGGAATCAGGATTGGAGGAAGACTCATTATCAACTTGCAATATGCAGATGAAACAACCTTGTTTGCTGAAAGTGAAAAGGACTTAAAATACTTACTGATGATGATCAAAGACCACAGCCTTTGGTATGAGTCAGAAGTCAGGCTGTAGGCTTCTGCTTGCTTACATCATTGAAGGGGCTGATGAACTAAAGGCAATAAGGCAGGCTGCTGACTCAAGTGCAAAGAACCAGAGGGCAGATACTGATGAGCCAGATACAGAATTCAGATGCTGCAGAAAGCAAGAGAGCATTTCCAGAACATCCATATGTATTGGAAGCAGGCCATATACTTGAGGGAACTCCTTTTTAATTGATTGGCTGCTATGGCTATCTCATCATGGATGTGATGACATTTCTATTACATTAGAAGTCATCATGAAGAATCACTACATCATAACTGCCAAGTTACTGGGAATCATGTCTCAACCAAGTAGTCATGCAACTGTACCCATCACAGTACTTAATAAGCTTCAGCAGCTCTATAACATAAACACTGGACAACAAAGTCAGTTTGAACTGCAATGTTGGTGCTTCAAACTGAACAGTCACTTCTCAGAAACACTATACATGGTTGCTATGAGTTGGAACTAACTTGATGGCTCTTAACAACAAGAACATATAAATTCTAATTACTGATGTTAACTCTTACTTATTCATTGACTCACATCATTCAATCTGCGAATATCTCCAAATAACTGGAGTTCCAAGTAACATATTATGCTCTGGGGACACAAGTGTAAGGATTGACACAATGACTACCTTTATGCAATTTACAGTGTTAGCATAACTATATCTAGATAGTAAACAAATATTAATATTTGCTTTATTTAAAATTCGTTATTAGATTGGCCACTAAGTCAAGCTATATAAAACAAGAAGTCCATTGGGACAGGGAGGGTCAAGGAATTCATTGTTGCTGGAAAGATATTTGAACTGAGAAAAGAGTGAAAAGTTATTAACTTGGGACTTAAATGTCTTCCATATTGACTTGAACAAATAATGAAACCATTGGAGACTATATTCTCATAGATTTGGTTTCTATTGAACTAGGTGATCAAAAAGGTGGAGATAATGAAATTTACATGTGTTCATTTGACGTAAATTCTATTGACTGAATTTGATGATTGAACTACTAACCAATTTTTTTTTAAGCATAATAGAGCATAGCCTTCTTGCTTCAGTTCATCTCTTCCTTTCCCAAAAAATCATTTTTCATTACAAAGAACATTAGAATGATAAACCAGTGAACAATCTTGACTGAATCTTTACCTTAACAACTTTGAAATCATGATTAGAGCAGAAATTTCAAAGTGATATACAAAATGGTTTCCAAATTCTGTTGAAAAAGATGTATTTTTAGGAGCACTTTTAAACCAGACTACTTATTTTTCCTAGAAAGACCATCCCAATTTATTAGAATCACAAATGGTTTTAAGTTACTGTGAATTCCAATTATATATTTTATGAGATATAATGTTTGTATTGCATCTCGGAAAACACATAATTTTAGAAGAATTTTGATTATAGATTCAAAACACATACTTTGTTCCTGTAAGAATATATCAGTTGTATTTACATGATTGATTAGAAGAGATTAGAAAATGAGCTTCAGAAATTTATTAATGTGAATTTCAAACTCAAATTTTAAAATTGGCTTCTAGAGGAATGTTACTTTGATTTTTAGGTCCTGATGATTTTATAATGATAGGGTTAGAAGATAAATACACTGGTAGGAAGAAAGTGAGTTTTATTGATTAAGCATGATATTTTACTACTAATGACTCTTAAAATAAAAAATAATTTAAATAAAAGGAAACGATCATATAAGGAATTGGTAAAAGCAGGCAGAATTGAGGTGATGTAGAACCTATGTTTTTACTGAGCCTTACGTATACTCTCCATAAATATCACCATTTAATCCCTTTTGTAGTTTTAGAATGATCAAATCAATTCCTATAATCAAACAATGACAAAGAAACTCTACAATAATTAAACCAAAATTCATGATGTAGAACAAAACAGTGCAGATTTAAATAGCATTTAATGCAGACAGTAATATTATGCTACTGTTGTTGTTACAACCAGTTGTTTGCAACTCATAGTGAGTGACCCTGTATTGGGTTTCTGATTTTAGTTTGCAATTTTATACAGTCATTCTCCATTTAAATAGTATTCCCCAAAGCCTAGATGTATCTGAGATTGTGAAGGCATAAGGAGCTGTTCATTGACATAAAAGGAAATAACTTCCAAATGCTTATTGAAGTCTTAGGATAACGAAGTGAAAATATGTGAAGTCATAGATTTCTTAGGACATTATCATCATAGTGAACAAACACTAATGAAAGAAATATACATGCATCCATAAATGTTTAATATGGTTCAACTTGAAAATAATCCATATAGGTGATACAATTTATCTGCTTTTGTAAAATTCTCCCTTGGAAGACTGATAATGCTTTATTTAGAAATATTTTATGATACATAGATACTTTAACTAAAAGGAATACAATCTATTTTCTAGTTTCTGACCATAGACATACGAACTGAAAGCCCAATTTTTTTCAGTTTTACAATGCTAAAAATGTACTTTATTTATAAACCAATTTCTCTCAACCAATTTCTTCATTGCTTCTTTTACATCTTTGTTTCTTAAACTGTAGATAATGGGATTTAGCATGGGAATCACAATAGTGTAAAATATAGACACTATCATGTCATGGTCCAAAGCATAGCTAGAACTTGGTCTCACATACATGAAGAGGATTGTTCCATGATAAATTGACACTCCAGTTAGGTGAGAGCCACAGGTGGAAAACACTTTTCGTCTCCCTTCAGCAGAACGCACCTTGAGAATGGCCATAAAAATGAAACCATAGGAAATCAAGACGATCAATATAGTGAATACCTCAATAGAACCCACAAAGTAGAAGAGTAGAAGTTGGTTGATGTGAGTGTCAGAGCAGGAGATAGCAAGGAGTGGAGGGATATCACAAAACACATGTCTAATTTCATTGGATGCACAGAAGGAGAGGCTAAATGTTGCTACTGTGTGTAAAGTAGCATGCATTATGCCCCCAGCATATGAGGCAGTGATGAGTGGCACATAGACTCTAGGTGACATGTTAACTGAATACAGTAGTGGGTTGTAAATTGCTACATAGCGATCATATGCCATTGCTGCCAAAAGAAAGCATTCCGTAGTCCCAAAAGTGACAAACAGCATCATTTGTGTTACACATCCAAGGAATGAAATAGATTTATTCTCTGATAAGAAATTGACCAACATTTTGGGGGTAATAACTGAAGAATAGCAGGCATCTAAGAAAGATGATACACTCAAAAAATAGTACATGGGGTTGTGGAGTCGGGAATCTACCACGACTAATAAAACCAGTCCCAAATTTCCTACCAGAGTGAAAATATAGATTGCAAGAAATACTAAAAAGAGATAGACTTGCAGCTTAAAATCATCTGTGAAGCCCACCAATGTAAACATGGTGACTTCAGTGGCATTCTTAAACTGAATTCTGTGTGGACCCAGTCCTGATGTCAGTACGGACATTTCAGTTGGTATTTATAGGTCCTAAGTGCCTGGTACAAGTGGTTAACGCGTTTGGTTGGTAGATCAAGTGCACTCAGCGCCACCTCAGAAGAAAGTACTGAAGATTGGTATTAAAAATCAGTCATAGAGAACCCTAAGGCGCATTAGGTCATCTTGAATTTGATTGCTATAAAGTAACTGGTAAATGCAATACCCTGTGGAATGGAGCACATCTGATAATACCGTCATGTTTCCTTTTTAGAAAAGCATAGTAATATCATAGACAGTGCATGCATAGGCTGTCTTTGTATTGACGAAGTACTGGGCCAATGTGGATATCATTTCCTGTATCAAAAAAATAAAGAAATGCTGTAATTCATTTGTTGGGTAAATTTGTCATGTTAAGAGCAAAGAAACAAATAAGCCTGCCAATTTATGTGGTTGTCAAATTATATTTTTTAAATTTACAAGAAAAATTAATAAAATGTTTAAAAATCTATAGGCATTGTACATGAAACTACATACCAAGAGTGCTAGTCCCAGCCATCCAGCTGATTCTGACTAATACTGACCCTGTAGGTTTCTGACGCTGCATTGGAGTAAGGAGGCATCTTTTCCCAGGAGAGTGGCTTTCTAGTTAAGACTCCCAGACTTTTGGTTCACAGTGATGTTTAGCCTACTGCATAACCAGGTCTCCTTCCAGAGTGTTCAAACCTATAAAACTGCCTAAAATGTTAGTAACATTATGTATCTCACAAGATTGGGTGAGATTTAAATGCTAAAAACCTATTGGAAGTGAGTTTAATTTAAAACATTCTCAAATGACTAGAAAATAGATAAAGTCAGACTTAAATTTGAAGGTGTCTTAGAAGGCAGTTTGCTTATTCTTCACTTATTGACTGTCTCATTATCCAACATTTAACATTTCTATTCACAGTAAAAAATCTAATCTCCTACTATTTTGTGCATTAACATGTATGTGTGGCAGTAACGAATGCCAAATTGTGAACTAATAGTAACACTGGCCATGATGGTTAAGATTATGTGTCAACTGGTCAAGAAGCATCATCTCAGTTCTTTGACAGTTATATAATGATGCAACTCATCAATTACATATGATATGCTATTGTTGTAGCTAAGTGACATCCAATTGGTTCCAACTCATAGTGACCCTGTATTGGGTTTCTGAGGAGCAGCTGCTTTGTTTAGACAATTAACCTATGGTTAACAGCTCTTGTCCTACAGCTCCACACCAGGACTTCATGCAATGCTGTTGTTATAATTGTTAAATGCCATCTAGTCAGTTCTGTCCAATAGAGACCTTGTATTAATATTGTATTAATATAATCAAACATTAATAAAGTAATAGTCATTAATTGATTAATATGTATTCATTTATCTTTGATTATCACAAAAAA